CTCCCAAAGTGCTGGAATTACAGGCGTGAGCCACCACGCCCAGCTAATTTTGTATTTTTAGTAGACATGGGGTTTCTCCATGTTGGTCAGGCTGGTCTCGAACTCCCAACCTCAGGTGATCTGCTCGCCTCGGCCTCCCAAAGTGCCTATAATCCTCTCACTGCGCTCGGCTGAGGGCATGCATTCTAAGCAAAGGAGACAAAACCTGCATAGGAGTGAAATAGTCCCTTGTGTTTAGGGACTTTCAGGGACTTCCGCTGGAGGCCGTGTGCAGGGAAGAAGAGAAGCATGTGTAGGTCAGGGCAGAAGTTAAGGTCAGTGGCCTGTTGGGAACCGGGCCTCATAGCAGCAGGTGAGCAGCTGGTGTGTGAGTGAAGCTTCACCTGTATTTACAACTGCTCCCCTCCTGTCCGATCAGCAGCAGCATCAGATTCTCATAGGAGCTCAAACCCCGCTGTGAACTGTGCATGTGAGGGATCTAGGTTGCGCGCTCCTTATGAGAATCTAATGTCTGATGATCTATCACTGTCTCCCATCACCCCCAGATGGGACTATCTAGTTGCAGGAAAACAAGCTCAGGGCTCCCACTGATTCTACATTATAGTAATTTGTATAATTATTTTATTATATTAATATATAGGCCGGGCACGGTGGTTCACACCTGTAATCCCAGCACTTTGGGAGGCCAAGGAAGGTAGATCACGAGGTCAGGAGTTCAAGACCAGCCTGGCCAAGATGGTGAAATCCCATTTGTACTAAAAATACAAAAATTAGCTGGGCGTGGTGGCAGGCACTTGTAATCCCAGCTACTCGGGGGGCTGAGGCAGAGAATTGCTTGAACCCAAGAGATGGAGGTTGCAGTGTGCCAAGATCATTCCACTGCACTCCAGCCTGGGTGACAGAGGGAGACTCCATCTCAAAATAAATATATAACATACATACATATATAAATATATTATGGCCGGGCGCAGTGGCTCATGGCTGTAATCCCAGCACTTTGGGAGGCCAAGGCAGGCAGATCACAAGGTTAGGAGTTTGACACAAGCCTGGCCAATATGGCGAAACCCCATCTCTACTAAAAACTACACAAATTATTGTGTGAGTAGCTGGGACTACAGGCAAACACCACCAGCTACTCGGGAGGCTGAGGCAGGAAAATTGCTTGAAACCAGGAGGCAGAGTTGCAGCGAGCCGAGATCATGCCACTACATTCCAGCCTGGGTGACAGAGCAAGACTCTATCTCAAAAAATATATACATGTGGCTAGGCATGGTGGCTCACGCCTGTAATCCCAGCACTTTGGGAGGCCCAGGCAGGTGGACCACCTGAGGCTGGGAGTCCGAGACCAGCCTGACCAACATGGAGAAACTCTGTCTCTACTAAAAAATACAAAAAATTAGCTGGGCATGGTGGCACATGCCTGTAATCCCAGCTACTCAGGAGGCTGACGCGGGAGAATTGCCGAACCCAGGAGGTGGAGGTAGCGGTAGAGATTATGCCATTGCACTTCGGCCTGGGCAACAAGAGCAAAACTCTGTCTCAAAAAAAAATTTTATATATATATAAATATATATATATATGCAAAACAATGTAATAACATAAATAAAGTGCACAATAAATGTAATGCACTTGAATCATCCTGAAACCTACTTCCCCACACATGTCCTTGGAAAAATTGTCTTCCATAAAACCAGTTCCCTGATGCCAAAAAGGTTGGGGACCACTACCGTAAGCCATAAGAAGTCCCTAAGGGTGTCTGCAGAGAAGTGCTATGTTTGGACTAGCATTTTTTTTTTTTTTCCTGAGACAGAGTCTTGCTCTGTTGCCCAGGCTGCAAACCCCTGTGGCTCACTGCAACCCCCGCCTCCCTCAAGCGATTCTCCTGCCTCAGCCTCCTGAGTAGCTGGCATTACAGGCGTGAACCACCACGCCTGGCTAATTTTTGTATTTTCAGTAAAGATGAGAATTCACCACATTGCCCAGGCTGGTTTCCAACTCCTGACCTCGTGATCTGCCCACCTCAACCAAAGTGCTAGGATTACAGGCATGAGCCACCATGCCTGGCCAAAAAGAAGCTTTTGTTGTGTAGGGACGTAAGGTCAATCTGGGCCCTGATGGGTCCATGATGTGGCAATGTTGGGCCAGCATCAGGGGCTCAAATCAGAGGAGAGGGTCCTGAGGATGAGAGGTTAAGCCACGAACCCACAGCCTGCCTGGGAACAGGAAACAGGGAGGAGAGGAGGGTGAAGCCTGCTCCTGGGAATCACCTGCCTTCTCAGAGGAGGTGGGGCAAGAGGAGAGAAGGGCTGCAAGAGAAAGCCGGGGTGGGGCAGGGGGCCAAGGGGGCAGAAATTCCAAGCAGACTCTCATAGGAGGACTGGTCAAAAATGTCCCAAAGGGCATAGTGGCTCACACCTGTAATCTCACCACTTTGGGAGGCCAAGGCAGGTGGATTGCTTGAGCCCAGGAGTTTGAGGCCAGCTTGGGCAACATAGCGACACCCCTATCTCTACACTTGGTCTTAGCCAAAAGCAATGTGAGACCCCCATTTCTAAAAAAAAATACAAAAATTAGCCAGGCATGGTGGCACGTGCCTGTGGTCCCAACTACTTGGGAGTATGAGGTAGGACGATTGCTTGAGCCTGGGAGTTAGAGGTTACAGTGAGCCGACATTGCACCACTGCACTCCAGGCTGGGTGACAGAGTTATACTGTGTCTCGAAAAAAAAAATTCGGCAGGGTGTGATGGCTCACGCCTGTAATCCAAGCACTTTGGACGCCAAGGTGGGTGGATCACCTGAGGTCAGGAGTTCAAGACCAGCCTGGCCATCATGGTAAAACCTCATCTTTAAAAAAAAAAAAAAAAATTCACAAAGACGTCACTTAAGATAAAGGACTGCAAAGTAGGATTTGAAGACCTAGAAAGTGCCCCAGGTTACAGAAAAAGCAACAGTAGGGGGGCAGAATGGGGGGCTGAGGGACAATGAGGGGAGGGTAAGGCCAGTGGGAAGCTCCCACGGGAAGGGTCAGGAGTCAGTGCTCAGAGTAGAGGGCCTGGAGGAGGGAGAGGGATGAGGGCAACCACAGGACGGGCAGGAGCCCATGGGGAAACAAGCCAAGGAGGGGCCACGGCCCGAGGTACAGGGCAGGAATAAGCACAGGGACAGGACTGGCCTCAGCAAGGGGAGGGATGTCAGCACCTCTGAGCCAGGAGGGAAGAAGGAAAGGCAGGCAAGTGAGGCAGGGATGATGTGGAGCAGTTATGGGGTGGGAAGCAAAGGGTGTCCTTTTTTTTGGATTGGGGGACAAGGTCTCACTCTGTTGCCCAGGTTGGAGTGCAGTGGTACAATCTCAGGTCACTGCAACCTCCACCTCCTAGGTTCAAGCAATTCTCCTGCCTCAGCCTCCTGAGTAGCTGGGATTACAGTTGTGCACCACCACGCCCAGCTAATTTTTGTATTTTTAGTAAAGACGGGGTTTCGCCATATTGACCAGGCTGGTCTGGAACTCCTGGCCTCAAGAGATCTACCTAGCCTCCCCAAGGGACTAGAGGCGTGAGCCACAGTGTGTGTTCAGGGTGTCCATTCCTAACAAAGGCGATGGAACCTCCAGAGGGAGGAGGGGAGTTGAGGGCAGCAGGGGTGCAGCTGAATGGCAGTAGTTCCCAAGGAGAATGGGTTTTCCCATGAGAGTGGAGGCAGGGAGATCTGGTAGCAGCCCTGGAAAGAAAGGAAGGCTGGGGCAGGAACCATGCTGGACAGGGACCCCTGATTTGTAAGTAAAGAGCAGTGACCACCGGAGAGATCCAGTGGGCAGGCAGCCTTGTGGGGACAGCAGCTCTTGCCGACATGCCCCAGCCCAGACTTGCCTGAAGGGAAAGGGGCAAAGGTGTGAGGCTCCAGCTTACCAGGGGCACCAGGAAAGGGCTCAGCAGGGCGGCTGTGGTGGCAGCCTGGTTGGTGTTGTCAGTCCCAATCACCGCCAGCACCTTAGGGGAATACTGGAGAAGGTCTCCTTGGAGCTTTATGTGGTGTGGCCCCTGCAGGGAGAGCACTCTCAGCGTGGCATACACATTGGCAGAGTCTGAGCACACATCGTACAGCTGATACCCCAGGGTGACGTTGGGCAGCAGGGCCGTGGAGTTGTTTATCTCCTCAACCCCAAGCCTCATAGCCTGGAAGAGGTGGTAGCCGTGATCATTGAAGGTGCCGGGCCTATGGAAAAAGCCAAGCAGAGACAGCTGAGAAGGACAAGGCCCCACTGAGACCCTCTGGCCTTCCAGATGCCCAGGCTTGGGGGTAGAAGGGAACCTCTGAGGTCATTGGTCCAGTCTCCCAAACCACGACTTCAAGAAGGGCCCTGAAGCTCAGTAGGAGGAACAAGCTGGCCCTGATGGAGAAGCCTGTGAGCATCGAAACGTTCCTGAGGTCCCGGAGCAGAGAAACCTGCTATATAAGTCAGTGTTCTCCAGAGAGAGAGAGAGACAGAGAGAAATTTAGTTTAAGAAATTGGCTCGAGGGCCGGGCGCGGTGGCTCAAGCCTGTAATCCCAGCACTTTGGGAGGCAGAGGCGGGTGGATCACAAGGTCAAGAGATCGAGACCATCCTGGTCAACATGGTGAAACCCCGTCTCTACTAAAAATACAAAAAATTAGCTGGGCATGGTGGCATGTACCTGTAATCCCAGCTACTTGGGAGGCTGAGGCAGGAAAATTGCTTGAACCGGGAGGTGGAGGTTGCAGTGAACCAAGATTGTGCCACTGCAGTCCAGTCTGGCAATAGTGCAAAACTCTATCTCAAAAAAAAGAAAGAAATTGGCTCACATGTGAGGGCTGGCAAGCTCAAATTTTGCAGGGCAGGCCAGCAGATTGGACATTCTGTCAAGAATTGATGTTACCGTGCTCTTCAGTCCTAAGGCGATTTGGAGGCAGAATTCCCTCCTTGTCCAGTAACCTCAGGCTTTTAAAGCCTTCAATTTATGGGATGAGGCCCACCCTCATTATGGAGAGCAATTTGCTTAACAAAGTCTATTAATTTTTTTTTTTTTTTTTTTTTTTGGAGACAGAGTCTCACTGTGTCACCCAGGCTGGAGTGCAGTGGCATGATCTCAGCTCACTGAACCTCTGCCTTCCGGGTTCAAGTGATTCTCCTGTCTGTTTCCTGAGTAGCTGGGATTACAGGCACACGCCACTATGCCAGGCTAATTTTTCCATTTTTAGTAAAGACGATGTGGTTTCACCATGTTGGCCAGGCTGGTCTTGAATTCCTGACCTCAAGTGATCCACCCGCCTTGGCCTCCCAAATGATTTTTTTTTTTTTTTTTTTTGAGACGGAGTCTCTCTGTGTCACCCAGGCTGGAGTGCAGTGGTACGACCTTGGCTCACTGCAACCTCCTTCTCCCGGGTTCAAAGGATCCTCCCACCTCAGCCTCCCAAGTAGCTGGGACTACAGACATATGCCACAACACCTGGCTAATTTTTGTATTTTTAGTAGAAACAGGGTTTTGCCATGTTGGCCAGGCTGATCTGGAATTCCTGACCTCAAGTGATCTGCTCGCCTCAGCTTCCCACAGTGCTGGGATTACTGGTGTGAGTCACCATACCCAGCCCAAGTCTATTGATTTAAATGTTTGCCACATGTAAAAAGCACCTACAGGCTGGGCACGGTGGATTATACCTGTAATCCCAGCATTTTGGGAGGCTGAGGTGGGTGGATCACTTGAGGCCAAGAGTTTGAAACCAGACTGGCCAACACAGTGAAAACCAGCCTTTTTCAAAAGTACAAAGATTAGCTGGGCGTGGTAGCACATGCCTGTGATCCCAGCTACTCCAGAGGCCGAGGCTGGAGTATCACTTGAACCCGGGAAGAAGAGGTTGCAGTGAGCCGAGATCACACTAATGAGCCCCAGCCTGGGCGACAGAGAGAGACTCTGTATCAAAATAAAATTTTGTGGGTTTTTTTTGAGGCTGAGTCTCACTGGAGACTCCAGCCCAGGATGGAGTGCAGTGGCGTGATCTCGGCTCACTGCAATCTCGGCTCACTGCAATCTTGGCTCACTGCAATCTCGGCTCACTGCAATCTCCACATCCTGGGTTCAGGCAATTCTTGTGCCTCAGCCTCCCAAGTAGCCGGGATTACAGGCACCAGCCACCATGCCCAGCTAATTTTGTATTTTTAGTAGCGGCAGGGTTTCACCATGTTGGCCAGGCTGGTCTGGAACTCCTGACCTCAAGTGGTCTGTCTGCCTCAGCCCCCAAAAGTGCAGGAATTGCAGTGGCCCATGCCTGTAGTCCCAGCTACTCAGGAGGCTGAGGATGGAGGATTGCTTGAGCCTAGGAGTTGGAGATCAGCCTGGGCAACACAGTGAGATCCCATCT